CGGTTTGGTCATTCCGGCTAAAAATTACCTGGCGCCTATAGATTTTTGTATTTTTGAGTTTGACTAGATGAAGGGGAAGAAGGGCGAAGGTAATAGGCATTTTTAACCCCCATACGAAAATGTCACGTTACAACCAGGATAAGTGATTTTCGCTTCGGGTCAATTATTGATGAATATCGTGGAAATGGATATAGTTAGAGAAATTTTTGTGAAGAGCTTTCTTAGAGCTGACATTTGGCTCTACAAAAACAATTTTTATGAAAATTTCAGTATCTTTCTTCCTTTCCAAGATATTCATCGATGATTGGGACTAAGCAAAATGCAGTTATCCTAGTTTACCAATTCACTACAGACTTCAATTCAATCGAAGTGATCTGATGGAACTTGGAACTGATTAAATTTTTGGACCTGATCGCTTCAGCAGTCTCGCAGCTGTTCAACTGAAAAAGAAAAAAAAAAGGGAAAATCACGTTTCTCTTCACAAAGTTGATCATTTCATCGGTAGAGATGACATCGTTTGGATTGTTTTTCATATTTAGACGGCGATGACTGTTTAATGATAGTGAGGTAGGCGATTTCCGATTATTTGCAGAATGAAACTTTTCAAATTTCTAATTCTTTTAAAGTTTTATCATGATTATACAGAGGTAAGGAAGTGATAGGGGAATTGCCATAAAAATGGGTCACATCTACTTGAATCCATCCGTACTGCGTACACCTAATGCAGGAGTAGGTGACCGAAGACCAATTCATGACCAGTTTTTGATTAGACAAAATTGTCGAAATCTTGGGCCTCAAAAATGATTTTTTAAAAATAGCTGTTTTCGTGACGAGACTGGAAAAAAAATTTCCAGGCAAGTGTAAGTGTTGTACAAAAGTTTGATTAATAAATCATTGTAATCATCATTTCCATACGTTCAACATTGTTTTCTACATCACGCAATTTTTGTTTTTCTAGTACGAGACTTCTTGAATTATGAACTAATATTTGCAAATCAAATCGGTACGGGAATAATTGAACAAATGTCACTTTTCTGAATTCTAGAGAATAATTGATAATACTGCTTTTTCGAATTAATGAAGCGACATCATTATTCCTCTTTGCTACTGAAGTGATTCCTTTTGTTCCATCAAGATATGACTTATTCATTTTCCCATATCCTCTTAATTTTTTTGTCAAAAGTCTCATCACCTGGAATTTCCGCAGATATTCTCATTGCTATGCGTTGAAATGGGAAACTTTAAAAATCTCACCTTGACTTTGTCAGCTGTCAAACAAAGAAAAATTTCAATATTGTCTAACACAACCCGGTCAATTTCCCTCCATGTAGTTTAAATTACAAAGCATGACCTCGTCACCTATAGCTCCAAGAGCTTCGAGGATTATTACTTTGTAGAATTTTCCACAAAGTAGAGTCAGACATTCATTTCGGATTGCTGAGACGTTGCTGTGACATTTTCCACAATGTTTCAGTTCCAAAAGTGGAACTTCTTGATATTTAACATGTGAGTGTTTATTCAACACAGTGAAAAGTTTTAATTTTTACTGATAGAGAACACTGAAAATCAGTAATTGGAATTACATTGATTTTCAAAGATTTTTACCACAGAAATTCAGCGATGAATCACTGAAATTCATTGATGGATCACTGAAAATCAATGCTGTATCATTGAAGATCAAAACTTCTCTCTCTCCCAATTAAGTTCTTATGTTCATTTCTAGAATTCTTACTCTCTCATTAATTCCGCTATCTCAATCCATTCCCGTCAAACGAGATGCACCATTTTCTACATCAGGTAAATATATTAAATTTATAAATTGAACGTATAATACTTGTTTGAACATCTCACAGTTCGAATATTTTTGATAGGGAAATCATCCTATCAAAACAGAGATTTGTTCCGAGAATATTTTTTACGAACGATCAACTTATCTTCCATAGTGAGTCTATTGCTGAGCGCCCTGGACGAATCGGTCAATCCTTGTGATGATTTCTACACATATACGTGTGGTCATTGGACAGAATATCATCCCATCAAACCCGGATACTTAACATGGACAAACATGAACGAGATTTCAGACGGCTCTAGACCGAAAATTGAATCGCTGTTGACTGCTAATGATTCAGAAACTGATAACGAAGCAATTCGCAAAGCACGGAAGGTTTATCGAGCCTGTATGGATACGGGTACTGAAGGAAAAATTATTAATAAATAATTGTCCGATTTGAAAAAAAATGTGACTTGAATTTCTGATATACTTCTGGAAATTTTCATCACATTATAGCACGTACGAGAAAATTTTATGGAAAAACGTAGCGAATTTGTTCAACAATTCTATTGAAATTTTCAGCAAAATATCTTTTGTAGAAAAAAATCAAGAAATTTCTGTTGTTCTATACCACTTATTCTATTGAGATTTTTCATGTAGAATTTCTTCCGCTCAAATTTTCTGTTTTTTTCATTCTATTTTTCTTTTCTTAAAAAAAAATCAAACAAAAAGCTTAGAAGATTTGAGTTGAGGAGATTCTATACAAAATATTTGAATTGAATGAGTTATATAGGAAAAGCGAATTATATTGAATTTTTCATGGGATATTTTTTTATTGAAAATTTCAATAGAATCAGCCAACAAATAATAGAATAGTCAATAGAAATGTCTAATGAATATGCTATATTTTTCCATGAAATTTCAATTTTTTTCTAACAGTGAAGGGTCAAGATGTGGTAATGTTGCAGAGCAAAGTGAAAAAGCCGGTATAGAGCCAATCATGTCAATCCTCAATGAGAACGGAGGATGGCCATTACTAATGAAGCTCGAGGAGTGGGAATCGAGGAAAATTTCTTGGCAACAAATACTCCCTAAATTCATTAGAACTTTGGGGACTGGAGCGTTATTCAACATAAATGTTGCACCGGATGATAAGAATTCGAGCGTCTCTAGGCTTAGCGTAAGAAGAAGAATTTTTTGATAGAATATATGTTCCATTAAATCTTTGCCGTCCAAATTCCAAAATATTCAAAAAATCTTATCTTGAATTAAAATTACGCAAATTCTAACACGATATACCATTTTTCCAGATGACTGAACCCAAACTCATCGTCAAAGATGAAGAATTGGGGGCTAGTCCTTCTGATCCCGCCGCTCGTGCTTACTACCGTTACAAATCCCAGATAACCAATATATTTTTGAAGGCATCGGGTATAGCACCTGAAGGCTTAAATACTTCAGCACAGTGGGACGAAGTAAATGGATTCGAAAAAGCTCTGTCCTCGGTATGGATCAATATTTACCAAAAAAAATTTAAGTTGGGACTTGCGATCTCGAATTGAAACTTATTGAAGGATGAAAGGTTATTTAGGATTGAAAGAATGATTAAACACAGTTTTATTGTCGTAAATGTAATTAAGTTTATTCAGCAACGTAACGCGACAACGCTCGAGGCACAAGTGTTACATAGCCCGAGTATATCTCATAGAGGTGCAACGGCGCCGTGGCGACACAGCCACACTATCGGTAATAAGGAGACTGGCGTAGGGCGCCAAATTCAACCCTCCCTCCCGCCATAGACAGTATCCTTGAGTCCTCTCCAGTTTTCTTCTCTCCTGGTAATATATTCTTGTTCATCACAAAGTTTCTTATTTGGTAACTTTATCTCGCCTCAGTATTCTCGCCAAGTAATTTCGTCAGTTTAATCTCATCAGTTTTTCCATCTCGCCAATTTTATCTCTCTAAGAAGGTCTCGCCAAATTAGTTATTTCCTAGACAAACAGAAAGAAAGTAATTTAAATATTTACATTCATTATTAGGTCCATCAAACGTTTGTGTGATTCAAACGCCAATGGTTTGGTGAAAACATCAGCTAGCTGATCCCTTGAGCCAATCCAAATGATTTTTATATAATTCTTTTTAACACATTCCTTTACATAATGTAATTTGTTCTCTACAATGTGTCTCAATTTCATTCCTCCATTTATTTCTGCACTAACAATAGCAGATTTATTATCACACCTTATGATCATTGGAACAGGGGGATCAACCAGTATTATTTTTAAAGAGTTGTGCAACGACATCATTTCTCGACTGGCCTCGCTCATTGCAACATACTCAGATTCACACGTAGAAAGTGCTATTGTAGTTTGTTTGTGAGTTCGCCAAATGATCGAATCACCAAACAATCTAATCACAAATCCACAAGTTGTGATTGAATCTTTACAATCAGAGAAACTCGCATCAGTATAACTCTGAATGTCATTAGTCTCACCTGAATATCTCAGACCCAAGCCCGTAGTACCTCTCAGATACCGAAAAATTCTTTTTACCATTTCCCAATCACTTTCTGTAGGATTTACTTGACGTCTGCTTATCACATTGACTGCATATGCAATGTCTGGTTTCGTAGCAACAGCCAAATATAAAAGACTACCTACAGCCTCTCTGTAAGGGATGTTTGTTTTTGTTTCTGTCCTTTCCAAAGTCCCATTATCATATTCTGTTTCTCTTAATTTTCTCTTATTATTAGCTACTTCATAAGTATTCATTAGTGTACGTTGTGGATGTGCTTTATCAAAGCCAAACCTACTTAATATCTTTTGAAAATATTTTTCCTGATTCAATTTAATAATCTGATTTTCTCTGTCTCGCCTAATAGTCATGCTCAGGAATTCCTTGGTTTCTCCCAGGACTGCCATTTCAAATTCGCTACATAANAAGTTGTGATTGAATCTTTACAATCAGAGAAACTCGCATCAGTATAACTCTGAATGTCATTAGTCTCACCTGAATATCTCAGACCCAAGCCCGTAGTACCTCTCAGATACCGAAAAATTCTTTTTACCATTTCCCAATCACTTTCTGTAGGATTTACTTGACGTCTGCTTATCACATTGACTGCATATGCAATGTCTGGTTTCGTAGCAACAGCCAAATATAAAAGACTACCTACAGCCTCTCTGTAAGGGATGTTTGTTTTTGTTTCTGTCCTTTCCAAAGTCCCATTATCATATTCTGTTTCTCTTAATTTTCTCTTATTATTAGCTACTTCATAAGTATTCATTAGTGTACGTTGTGGATGTGCTTTATCAAAGCCAAACCTACTTAATATCTTTTGAAAATATTTTTCCTGATTCAATTTAATAATCTGATTTTCTCTGTCTCGCCTAATAGTCATGCTCAGGAATTCCTTGGTTTCTCCCAGGACTGCCATTTCAAATTCGCTACATAAATTACTCTTTACTTCAGCCAATTTATCGTTATCATTACTCGCTAACACCATATCATCTACATAAAGTAGCAGAAGCAAGAACTTGTCTTCATCTCGCCAAGTGAATAAACAAGGTTCTAAATCCGAGTTCTGCAGACCCATACTCANGGTCCATCAAACGTTTGTGTGATTCAAACGCCAATGGTTTGGTGAAAACATCAGCTAGCTGATCCCTTGAGCCAATCCAAATGATTTTTATATAATTCTTTTTAACACATTCCTTTACATAATGTAATTTGTTCTCTACAATGTGTCTCAATTTCATTCCTCCATTTATTTCTGCACTAACAATAGCAGATTTATTATCACACCTTATGATCATTGGAACAGGGGGATCAACCAGTATTATTTTTAAAGAGTTGTGCAACGACATCATTTCTCGACTGGCCTCGCTCATTGCAACATACTCAGATTCACACGTAGAAAGTGCTATTGTAGTTTGTTTGTGAGTTCGCCAAATGATCGAATCACCAAACAATCTAATCACAAATCCACAAGTTGTGATTGAATCTTTACAATCAGAGAAACTCGCATCAGTATAACTCTGAATGTCATTAGTCTCACCTGAATATCTCAGACCCAAGCCCGTAGTACCTCTCAGATACCGAAAAATTCTTTTTACCATTTCCCAATCACTTTCTGTAGGATTTACTTGACGTCTGCTTATCACATTGACTGCATATGCAATGTCTGGTTTCGTAGCAACAGCCAAATATAAAAGACTACCTACAGCCTCTCTGTAAGGGATGTTTGTTTTTGTTTCTGTCCTTTCCAAAGTCCCATTATCATATTCTGTTTCTCTTAATTTTCTCTTATTATTAGCTACTTCATAAGTATTCATTAGTGTACGTTGTGGATGTGCTTTATCAAAGCCAAACCTACTTAATATCTTTTGAAAATATTTTTCCTGATTCAATTTAATAATCTGATTTTCTCTGTCTCGCCTAATAGTCATGCTCAGGAATTCCTTGGTTTCTCCCAGGACTGCCATTTCAAATTCGCTACATAAATTACTCTTTACTTCAGCCAATTTATCGTTATCATTACTCGCTAACACCATATCATCTACATAAAGTAGCAGAAGCAAGAACTTGTCTTCATCTCGCCAAGTGAATAAACAAGGTTCTAAATCCGAGTTCTGCAGACCCATACTCAAAGCTACTTCGGTGAATTTTACATACCACCGTTTGGGGCTGATACGAAGACCATAAAGTGCTTTCTCCAATTTGCACACATTTTCTCGCCTATCCTTGTCAGTATGATCAGTTCCTTCTAGAATTTCCATGTAAATTTCCTCATCTATCACACCATTGAGGCAAGCAGTTTTAACATCTAGTTGATACACCTCTAGATTATATTTGTTTATAATTGATATAACTATTCTCACTGCAGGTAAACGAACTACTGGAGCATAAGTTCCCCTTAATTTATAAATGTTCTTATCCTTGAAACTTATTTTTCCATTTGCCTCATTTTTACGCTTAAATACCCATTTTGAATCAATGACATTTAATCTTTTTCCATTCATCATACTTTGAGGTCTTTTAACAATTTTCCATACTTGATTTCCTTCTAATGAGTTCAATTCTTCATCAACCGCATTTAACCAAGAATCTTCACCTCATTCTCACCCCCAGTGACATCAGCAACATTTGCTACTACTCGCTTGAATGAATTCTCACTGATAGAGTTTGACATTACTATTTCTAAATCGATTATCCAGTAAGGTTTTCTGTAAATCCCCGAGATGAAAAGTTCATTCGACACTGGATCAAATATATCAATTTTCTTGTCATCTAAGTAGATTGCTAATCCCATTTCGGCAAATTTTCTTAATGATAGCAGATTTGCTTTAAGAGCTTCTGCAAAAATAACTTTGTCAATTTCTAATAATTTACCACTCGCCAGTTCAATTTCTATTCTTCCTGCTCCCACCGTTTTTAAGTCCGCTGACTCATTTTTATTCGCACCCCTAATTACTCCACAATCTAATTCATTGAATGTTTTAAATATAATACTAGAATTTGTTAAATGCTCGGTCGCGCCTGAAAATCTGTCAGAAACTTATTTCCATTTGTTTGTTGACTATCTGCATAAAATGTTTCAGCACTTGATTGATCATAATTTTCTTTTTCCTTACCTTGATTGGAGTTATTTTTCTCTGTAGTTTTGTCGGAATTGGATTTCTTGTTTGATTTGTGAGATGACTTAAACCATAGTTTGTTCTCGCCTCTTTTATAAGAGAACCGACTCTTATTGAATCTTCCTCTTTTACTTGGACCATATGTCTCACCTCTCATTGGTCTTTTCGTTCCTCTATTGGTACTTCTATATTGATCTTGATAATTATTTCGATAATTGTTTCTTGAATTGGAATTGTACTTTGGAGTCTGTTTAGAGTATCCTGAGCCACTTGGTGCATTGTCATTGTGGGGTACGTTGGGCAATCTCTCGCCTTGTGATTCCCAAACTGGTTGCACTTGTAGCACAAGTATCCTTTCTCTTTATTGGGACAGTCTGGTTCTTTATGTCCATAAGCCTGACAAGCAATACACCTTGGCCCCTTGTGCTGTGCAAAATTAGCAGTTTTAATATCAGAATCTGAGAGCTCACTTTTCATAGTAGCTTCTTCTTCTAATATCACAATTTTCAACTCGCCAAAAGTCAAGCCCACACCTATAGCTTTCCTTGTTACTTTTTCAATGATTTTAAGGTTGGGAAAAGCTTTTATTACTGCATTGTAGAATGCATCTTTCTTTTCGCTTTCACTCAAAGGAATGGTGTCAGGAGCATTTTCATAAGTTGCAATTTTCCCATCAAACGTATCATTAAACTCGCCAGCTGTCATTTTAGCAGGATTGTATCTCATATTATAAAGATCTTGTCTCACCGAGTGTGAAGTTACATTAAACTCAGCCATTTTCAATTCTTTCAGTTTCTTCAATATTTCTTTTGGATCTTGTAATTTGACAATTTTAGGGTGATAACTTCTGTTCATATGATTGATCAGAA